GCGTTCGACCGCTCCACATCGGCCATCAGGTCCTCGATCTCATTCTGCAGCCGGTGCTTGGTCTTCTCCAGCGAGGAGCACTTGGCRTTGACGGCCTCCACGGCCTCCTCGGCCTCCTGCAGCCGCTGCGCCAGCTTCTTCCTGCCCCGGGTACCGCCCAGGGTCACCCACGGGCCAGGTGGGACCACCCAGACCTTCTCCCACCCGGCCATTGGCCAGGGTTCTGCTCAGCCTCTACCATCTCCGGGTCACAGAACCTTTTCCAGAACCTTCTCCAGTGGTCTCCACCCTCAACCCCACAGAAGCTCCATCCTTGGGGTGATGACTCACTTAGCCTCCCTGGGGACCTTCTCCCATGGATGATCTCCCCCACTGACCCAACAGAAGCTCCATCCATAGGGTGATAACTTACTTGGTGTCCTCCAGAACCTTCTCCTGGAGGTGTTCTCCACCCCCAACCCCACAGAATCTCCATCCATGGGGTGGTGACTCAATCTCTAAAACCTCCAGAACTTTCTCCTGTGGTCTCTATCCCCACAGAAGCTCCATCCTTGGGGTGGTAACTCACTTGGTCTCCTCCAGAACCTTCTCCTAGAGGTGCTCTCCACCCCTGACCCCACAGAAGCTCCGTCTATAGGGTGATGACTCACTTGGTTTCCTCCAGAACCTTCTCCCATGGATGGTCTCCACCCCCCCTGACCCCACAGAAGCTCCATCCACAGGGCAGTGACTCACTTGGCCTTCTCCAGAACATTCTCCAATGGATGATCTCCACCCCCAACCCCACAGAATCCCCATCCATGGGTTGGTGACTTACTTGGCCTCCTCTAGCTCCTCGGTGCGCTGGATGGCGTCCGTCTCGTACTTGGTCCTCCACTGGGCCACCTCAGAGTTGGCTTTGGAGAGGGCACGCTGGAGCTCGGCCTTGGCCTCGGTCTCCTCCTCRTACTGCTCCCGCAGCAGGTCCCCGTCGTGCCGCGCCGACTGCAGTGCGTGTGCCAGTGCGTTCTTGGCCTGGGGGGACACAGGGGCACCGCTGGGCTTGGGCCATGTGGCATCTCTGGCTCAGCAAGGGCTGGTCTTCGTCACCAGAGCCCAACCTGACATTCCGTGGACCAGCCTGAGCTTCTGTGGACCATTCTGACCTTCTCCAGACAAACCTGACCTTCTCCGGACAAACCTGACCTTCTCCGGACAAACCTGATCTTCTGTGGACCACCCTGACCTTCTGTGGATCAGCCTGAGCTTCTGTGGACCAACCTGATCTTCTGTGGACCAGCCTGAGCTTCTGTGGACCAGCCTGAGCTTCTCCAGACCAACCCAACCCTCCTCAGACCTTCTGTAGAGCAACCTCACCTTCTCCAAACCAATCCAACCTTCCTTGGACCCTCTTTAGACCAACCCGACCTTCTGTGGACCAACCTCACCTTCTCCAGACCAACCCAATTCTCCTTGGACCTTCCATAGACCACTCCAACCCAACCTGACCTCCTCCAGATCAACTCACCATCCTTGGATCCTCTTTAGACCAACCCATCCCTCCCTGGATCCTTTTTGGACCAGCCCAACCTTCTCCAGATGAATCCAACCCTCTTTACACCTTCAGGATAAGGTGGCACCATTGGATCCAGGTAACCTTGAGCTTCTTGCGGGTCTCCGGCTCAGCAAGAGCTGCTCTTTGTCACCCCAACCCATCCAGACCTTCCTTGGACCTTCCATGGACCAACCCAACCCTCCTTGGACCTTCCATGGACCAACCCAACCCTCCTTGGACCTTCCATGGACCAGCCAAACCCATCCAAACCTTCCATGGATCAACCCAACCCATCCAGACCTTCCATGGACCAACCCAACCTTCCATGGACCAACCCAATCCTCCTTGGACCTTCCAT